CTGGGACTCGCGTCTGGAAAGGCCCCCCCCCCCATGCTGCTACTCTGGAGGGTGCCTTTTCTGCCGGGCAAAACGCTGGAGCGTGCTTCAGGGGAGTTAAGGGGTGCGGGTTGTAGCCGCACGTTGAGTCCGATCTCTCTTATCGGAGCAACTCAGATAGTTGGGGAGATTCCTCCTCGCAAGCTGTCGGGTGCGCACGCCCCTTGTCGGACAGAGGAGCATCTGCCAAGGCTTCCTCGGCCTGCCCAAGGGCGTTTGTGCCCGAGAGCTTGCGAAGAAGAGTTTTCCTGGCTGTTTGAGTTGGTCTGATAAAAGATTTGCCCGAAGATCCTCATCTGCTTGGGAGTAAGGAGTGGGCTTTTGGTTTGCAGCACCTCTGAGCATGGTATTCATTTGGAGGTTCAGGGTGTGCCAGTCCTGGGGATAGGGCTGGCTGGAGCCTCCTTGTCTCTGGCGCAATCTCTTCCCTCCAATCTCCTGGTCAATCCGCCTCCTGTGTGTGTGCGCATTGCGCCCTCATTGACACCGAAGGTGGAGTTGAAAGCCCCCCTCCGGCTGGAGCGCTCCCGGCATCTCTGACACTCATGCAGGAATGCGAATATTCCTGCCCCGTGTCCCGGTGTCAGTTGCCAAACTGTTGAAAGGAAGCGGGGAGGGCTGCAGGCCTGGCTGCGTCATAGCTTTGCCGGTCCCAGCCTCTTAGTTTCATGTGCTGGTTGGAGATATGGGGAGGTCTTGCCCAAGAGTCGTTATTGCACAGGGGATGAATCAACAGGTGCAAATGAGCACTGGGTCCCATGTGGTTTGCATTTGGAGGAGGGAGGCTGGATGCGTCACTGGTGGCTGGAGGGTGAGACAAGACAGGGCCACGTCCTGAGCTGAGCGTGAGATGAGAGCTGGGGACTTAAAAGAGCTGCTGCATGACCTTAGGCAAGCGACTGAAGAGTGCTTTGTTCAAGGTATGTAGTCCCTTGAAGATGCAGGTGGAAGCTTTGCGAGGCTCGCAGGAAAACCGAGCACTGGAGTCTCTCTGACTCCTGTGAGAGAGGGGCCGCTGGAGCACGGAGCAAGTGAGGAAAGCTTTGGGCAGCGTCTGCAGGTGTCTCCTTCCAGTGGGCTGTGGGGCAGTCGGGACTGTTGGAGCTGCACCATGAGGTGCAGGGGGCTGCTCATCTGTGAGCCGTGGCAGCGGCGTGCAAGTTAAGTACAGGAAGGGGTGGCTGGGATGGGATGTAAACCCCGAATTATGGGGCCCGCGGCCCTGCCTCCAGGAACTGGTGCTGTGGGAATGAGGGAGTTGTGCGTGCTGAAACCTACCTGCCAGGCCTGGGTAAAGAAAGTCCTGCCTGAAATAAATTGGCATTTGAGCATGGGATCTGTGGCTGGTCACTGTCCCTAACAGCCTGACCACAGCTACTCTTATCCCTTAAACTTTATTGGTTCAGGGATGGAGCCAGTGGCGGGGGGGGGAGGCTGTGTCATAGCCAGGCAGACGGATGTGACTGGCAGAGGAGAGGCTGTTTCCCATCCAGTGGGCTTCCTCCCCCTGCAGCTGCCAGTACTGGAGGCTCAGTCCAGGCAGGATAGGGAAGCAAACTCTTCTATCCTGTGCGAGGCATCTGTTTGCAAGGCTCCTCCCTTGACCTCCTGACATACTTTCACGTGGGGATGGGGCTGGGCTTCAGGGTGGAAGAGGAGGAAAGGTGAGAGAGTCCTGCTGGGTCTGCTGGGTGCTATTATGTCTCCAATTGCATGGCGATGGCAAATGGATTCCAGCCTTGCACAGACATGCAGTTGACCCAGCTCTCTCCCTGCAGGGCCCTCCCCAGGCCATGCTTCCAGCTGCCCAGACCAGTGCAGGACCAGTCCCATCCGGTGTGGGGAGTCTAGGGCAAGCCCAGGCCAGGAAGGGGACCCCATGCTCAGAGGTTTGCAGTCCATGCACTCTCCCCACTGCGACTAGCAGCAAGGGTCTGTGCTGGGAGTGCCATGCAGCTCCCTGCACAGAGCAGGGATGCAGGAGTCATGTCGTCTCTGCAGCTGCTGGGTGCTGAGGCTTTAATGCTACCCGGGAGAGCTGGCTGTGATCGAGCCCAGTTTTGCCTCCCTACCCCCTGGCTAAGCTGGGAGCAGGTTGCTTTGGGCAGTGCTGACTTCTCCATCAGTGGGTATTTGAGAGCCGCGGGAGGAGGGTTTCCCAGTTGCAGCAGGCATTCCTCACGGAGGGATGCTCAAGCGATGTGGCTTGGACCCTGGGTGCCCTGCGGCAGGGGTGGAAGGACACGTGTAGTCTGGGCACTGGGGCTGTAGAAGGGAAGCCTGCCTGTGGATGGATCCATGCCTGTTCCCACAGTGACGTGGTGAGAGCGGCAGTTTCAGCGGAGCCGTGGCCAGGTCAGCGCTGAGGGATGCC